TACTTTCATCTATATCCAGCCGTGACATTGGACTCCTCCGTTTACCTTTCAGTCTTCCAAATGTACATTCCATTATCCTTCTGCAAATACAATTCCTTTCTGCCATCCAGGAGCCCAGTAAAATGCTTCATAATCCAGGAAAGTAGGAATAACCTTGGTCTCCCAGAATGACTGGAGGAATCGTAACACTTTTATTGTACATAGATACCATGAGAGCAGAAGTTCAATTTCTCATTACAGAAAACAATCCAGAGTTTCTAAAGATCCTGGCATCTTTCCAGACCACCCCACATTAATGTTTGTGAACGTGGTGATTAACCAAGATCTGCAGCACCAGGGAGAAATACCTTGTTCTTCTAATGACCTCAGAGGCCTGGGGGGTCAGGGTAGGCAAGGAATAGGTATTTGGATCCCATCAGTGACCCCAACTGTGCATAACTATTAATAACCTCCTGTGCATTGCCCTGCTTTATTACCCAGGGGACAGCACCTTCTTGGAAGCAGCACACATCTCCATGACAACAGTCTTGACAATTGATCTACTAACACCAGACTGGTTAGCTACTGACTGCTAGCAATCCAGTGTGGTAAGCTTCCAGATGGCAGTGGTCACATGCTTCTCCACAGTGAAGAGAGCTTGCATGCAGCTCTTCCACCACTGGAGCTCTAGGGCAAGCTTTACACACATCTCCAGGAATGTGGCTTTTGACATCCTGAAAGTGCTGTCACTGCTGCTGGCCATCACAGGCCTGCAGCACTATCCTGTCCCACTAGTCAGTACTATGTGTCCGAGCCTAAAAGTGTTGGTCCAATGAGTGAAGTTGTGCCAGTGAAAGATCTAAGGGTATGTCTACACTACAAAATTAGGTCGAATTAATAGAAGCCGGTTTTATAGAAATCGGTTGTATACAGCCGATTTTGTGTGTCCCCACATAAAATGCTCTAAGTGCTCTAGTCGGCGGACCGCGTCCACAGTACCGAGGCTAGCGTCGACTTCCGGAGCATTGCGCTCTGGGTAGCTATCCCACAGTTCCCGCAGTCTCCGCCGCCCATTGGAATTCTGGGTTGAGATCCCAATGCCCGAATGATGCAAAACAGTGTCGCGGGAGGTTCTGGGTACATGTCGTCAGGCCTCTCCCCCTCCGTCAGAGCAACGGCAGACAATAGATTCGCGCCTTTTTACCTGGGTTACCTGTGCAGACAACATACCACGCGAAGCATGGAGCCCCC